ATGGCAAATTTGTTGAATATGTAATTTTATTGTTTCATTAAAAAAATGTTTAATATTGTTAAGACATACTTATTGACTATTGTTATTATTATTTTTATATTATACTATTATTTTATTTTGTTGTATGTATGATAATATAATTTATAATTAAGTATTATTATATACATTACCTATGTATAATGTATTTATGTGAAAGTTTAATATTGTCTATATTCATTATTATATTTATTTAACGTCTTACAATCAGTGGCCAAGGGGGCTTAACACCCTCTATCCCTTGACCGTGTTGACCTTAAATTTGTATCAAGAATAGTAAAAAGAATAAAAAGTGTAAATAAAAGACATAATATTGTATTTGTATGGTTAGCACTACACCTATACAAAATTCCTGGCTACGCCACTACTTACAATTAATTGGCTATGCAGTGCCGGATTTAACCATTGTGCCGCCTTAAGCACAAAATAAATTGCCGCCTTTTAATACAAATATTTTTCTAGTGTAAAAAATGTTATTAAATCATACAATTATTATTTTTTTCTTTATTACTTAAAATTTTAATAATGAAAAATAAAAATATACAGCTGTTATAAAAATGCATACATATACATATTCATAAAAAAATTTAATTATAAAAATACGATATAAAATATAATGATAAAAAACATGGTAGTAATAAATACTTAAATAGTTAATTATTATATTAAAAATTAAATAGTTAATGTCTAGTGCTCATCGGCTTTCTGCGTGACTTTTGAGTCGCAAAATCATCTATTATGGCATCGAAGTCCATTTTGTTCACTAGTTCAGTTTCAATTGCCAATAAACTTAATGAATTTAGTTTATCTCCTTCCATACTTGCTCTCAAATAATTTTTTACACGTTTTAACGTAGAAAAAGACCTCTCGGCTGAACAATTAGTTATTGCCATACATAAAAGCATACGTAGAGCAATATCTACGTTAGGAAAAACTGTATCTAAATTATTACCACGTAAGTGTATTGATAATTCGATAACTCCATCAATATTTGTATTAATACTTTGAAGATATGCTCGAAAATGAACACATTCACAAGCGAATGATTTTTCTAAATCATCGCTATACAATTCTTGAAGCTTATTAGCTTTTTAAGTTATTTCTTCTGGTGAAAGTAGTATTAAATTAGTCAAAAAGTCATATTTGTCAAATGTATTAGTATAAGCAGCGCATCTTTTTTCAAGTTCACTCTTCACTCGGTCCAGTATGGTAAAATATGTTTCTATTCTTAACTTATCACTTTCAGTCATATGAACTTCATTTTCTCTTGTCTCGTCTGCTTGAAGTTTGCGTTTTTTAGTCCTTACTTTATCAAACTCGTACTCTTCACTCTTTATTTTTTTTGCCAAAATTACGTATTCATTAAAACATTTATCATTTCGAATAGATGTTATGAAGTTAATTAATGATTTATAGAGTTTGACAACTATCCCCAAATCTATGTTTACTTTTTGAAGCTATTAAAACGCTCCAAAATTGTATTCCAAAATACAGTCATAAAAACTGTTTCAAAACGGTCAAGTTGACGTCTTAAGCCAGCTGCCTCACAACGCGTCGTCGCCTTTTCAAAATTATCTTCTTCTAATAAACTTAAATTTTTCATAATACCGTCATAGTTTTGATATAAGCTGTCACAAGCTTCATGCCGAGCAGACCACCTAGTTCCATCTGCTCTTTTGACAACTTTTTTACCGAGCGTTAGGCTAGACTTTAAAATATCCCATCGTCTAGTAGATGCAGAAAAAAAAGAATAAAGATGTTGAATAGTGTTAAAAAACGATAATCCTTCTTTTACGCATTCAGCTACACAAGTCCCAACCAAGTTTAGCGAGTGAGCAGCACATGGTACGTAATACGCGTAAGGATTTTATTTTACTATTCTTGCCTGTAAACCCGAGTAAATTCCCGACATATTGGCGGCGTTGTCGTACGACTGGCCCCTGCAGTTGTTTATGTCAATATCATGTTTAGTTAAAAAAGACAATACGGCCGTTTCAAGTGTTTCAGACTTATGCCCAATATTTGGTAAAAAACACATAAAGCGTTCGACAGGAAAACCGTCATCTCTAACGTAACGAATAACGTATGCTAACTGATCTGTGTGGCTGATATCAGGAGTTGAGTCTATCACAATCGAAAAATATTTTGCACTTTTAATTTCTTTTATAATTACATTAGTAACTTGTGTTGTTATTAATGTAATTATTTCATCACATGTTGTAGAAGAAAGGTAAGATGTATGACCACTGCCCGGGTTTCCATGTTGAACTATATGATTGCTTAGAAAAGGGTCAAATTCAGATATTAATTCTAAACACATCATAAAATTACCATTATTTTGACTTCCAAATTTTTCCACGGAACCTCTAAATGGAAGACCACAACTTCCCAGTTTTTTTATGACAGCAATAACCCGTTTCAACACATTTTTCCAATAATCTATTTCATTATTTATTTGAATACAGAGATCACTATCTATTCTCCCAATATTATTGCTCCTACGTAAAAATACTATTTGACAGTTAGTATGTTCCTTAGAGACTTCATGTTGTTTTACAATCTTAATAACGTTTCTCCAGTCCATTAAACCTTCTGTAGCAAGTTTAGTAGAACCTCCAAACAATCGACAGGGGATACAAAATACTGCATTTTTACTACGAGAATAAATTAAAAATTTTCTAAGCTGTTGTTCTCCATTTAAAAGTTTCCGATAAAATACACTTTTTTTTAAGTATCGCGTTTTATTCCCAAACTCTAATTTTGTTGATAATAAATCATAGTCAATATTTTGTTTTATTTCTTTTAGTAATAAGCGATCAATTGTCAAATCATTAATTACCCATTCTGCAGGATCCTCGCTGATTGAATCGACTATTGGTACATTATCTTTTTCAGTAGTATTATTTAAACAACTTTCTGAAGATGTGACGTTTTGAATATAAGTGACGTCCGTAGTACTAGTACCCGAGTTTGAACAACTAGCGAGCGTTTTCTGTGTAGATTCATAATTTTCAACTTCATTTAAAAAAGTGGTTGGTTTAAAAAAATAATCTATTTTTGGGATTTTTTGCACTAAGTTATTTAATTGATTTTTTTTTTCTTCCGCGATTTTTTTATACTTATAGCCACTTAAACGTGATCGACCGTCACTCATTTTACTATAGTTTTATTAAAAATGTTACAAATAAAAATTTAAAAAATCAAATATTCATACAAATAAGAAAAGTGTGAACTTCGTCTGCACTAAAAAAAAATAACACTGAACAGTGAACACGTTCGTTACTATAATACTATAGAACATGTTACACTATGAGCTCGTTCGCGATTTCATTGACTAATGATTGGGTTTTTTTTATTGTGATTAGGTACAGATAAACACACAATCGAATTCGTCGTATCCACTTGTTTACAACACGATAACGAAAAATTTATAAATAATGTAGCAATAGCAATGATATATAATAGAGCGATAAACTCTACGATTATGAAATTGAAAAACATAAAATATAAATATTACCACAATCCCATTGGTCTAAAAACATTTTATAATTAGTAGCATTTATTTTAGTTAAAATGTAATATTAAAAATTATTTGCCGCCCTTGAGAAATTGCCGCCCTAAGCACTAGCTTATAGTGTTTACTGGTAAATACGGCACTGGATAATACTATGTTTTTAATTTCAGTTTAGATTAGTTTTTTTTATATAGAAAGATTGGTGAGATACTGTTTCATCAATGTTATCAGAAGTTAGTTCATTCGATTCATTCAAGTTTTTTGTAGTTATTTTTGCAAAGTAATTGTTAAAAAAAATTTGCAATTTTTTCAGGATGTGTTTTATTAGAGTATATATTATTTTCTATATTTATTTGTAGATTGTTACTTTTATTATTATAATTTTGGCCTTTTGTGGCTTCATTAATTGTTTTCCAAATTTTTTTGGGATTATTATTACATCGTTTTATTTTGTTTCCATAGAAATTAAATTTTGCTTTATTAAGGATGTTGTTTAAGTTATTTCTATATTTTTTAAATTTTTCTTTTAAGGCTAAATCATAAGGTTTTTTTTCTTGACTGTGAGTGAAGTAAATCTCTAGTTCTGATACTGTCTAATATACTTTTTGTAATCCAAGGTTTTATAGGGACCGTATTTGAATAGGTTGTATAAATATTACATTTTTGTATTATATCTTGTATTTTTTTGGTGTATGATTCAAGATTACTATTAATGGAGGCAGTGGTAGGTGTGTTGTTCCATGTTTCATTTTTTAATAATGATTTGAAATTGTTTTTGTTGAAAAATTTTCTTGTGTTACTTAAATTGTCTTTGATTTCTATTGATTTTTTTATAGTATATGGTATTATTTGAATAAAGATAGGGAAATGATCTGTGATTGATGTTTCTAAGATTATTGCATTGTCTATGTAATATTTATCTATTTTTTTTATAAAGATATGGTCAATGCAAGTTTCACTACCCTCCCAAACACGAGTCGGTGAATTTACATACGAGATAAAACCATATGAGGTCATTAAGTCTAGGTAGTTGTTTGCCAATCTATTATTATTCAGTAAATCAATGTTTATATCTCCACAGAATATTATGTTTATATTTTTATTTTCAGTTGTTATATTATATAAAATATCTTGAAGTTGCTCTAAAAATATATTTGCGTTACCATTAGGAGATCGGTATACTGAAATAACGCAATAAGTTGAGTTGTCAGATGTAACGTTTGTTATTAAACAATTGGCTTCCGTAAACCTGATTTCTTTATATGAAAATGAGCAATCGTTTCTTATGAAATTAATAACTCCATCATTTTATTTTTGATTGCTTACAGTATTAATAAGTTGGTAGTTGTTTAAAAATATGTATTTTAAATCTAAATGCTGACTTAACCAAGATTCTGAAAGTGAGATTATATGAATTTTATTACTAATTTCCGATATAAAACATTGTAGTTCTGTAATATGTTTTTTAATGCTACGGATATTCATATGTATTAGATTAAAAGTGTTATCGTGTTTTTGTCGAGTGTTATTTAATTTGTTTATGTGCATTTTTTCATTTTTGAATTGCTTTAATAAAAATGTATCTAAAGAAATAATATTATTGGTATATATCATTATTTTTCGTTTTTTGGTTTCTGTATGGTGCGACTATTAATTGATTTTGTTTTAGGATCGGGAATATGCCATCAATACATGTGTATAATGTTTTAGTCCTTTTACAATTAGATATGCGTATATTTGTAATGAATAAGGCTAAAAAGAAGTATATTCATAAAGGATAAAGTATTAGAGTTAATGAAAAACTTTTGATTTTTTAGATCATTGTATAAAGATAATAATATATTAATTTTAAATGTCATGGTAGTAATCGCGAAGTATATTAGTATTAAAGTAAAAATAAAAATAGATATTAATGATAAATTTGTGGTATCGGGGATTATAATATTATATAATAGGTAATTAAAATAAGTAATGGTTAATGACGCCAAAGTAGTCCAATTAGCTATGTGATAATGGAAGTGGATATAGTACGTTTTAATTACAGATTTGAAACATAAATAGTATGAGATATAAAATATAAAATAAAATGACATGTTGAAAATAATAATTATTATGAGTGTGGATTTATATTCGTGTATTATATCGTGTTTAAATCGGATTCCGAGTAGATTTTTCGTGCCTTTGTTTGGCTGCTGCTCTGGTCTTACCATATAGTTGACTTCTGTGTTTAGTGAGATTATTATTGATAAATACACGCTTATCTTTCGACCACGCCGGGTTAAAGTTGGAAAGATTAAATGTTTTATTTCGTTTGCAGTTTGTTATAACCCTTCGTTAGTCGCGTGGTTATTTATAACGTCATTGGTCGCGTGGGTTACTATCGTATCCCATCAATGTTAATCATTAATAGTAAATTAACGCTTAATTAATACTATTTTTAAATATATCATAATATTATAGAACACTTCCAGAATGTGTTTATATAATTTTTAGTCCAAAATTACCATACTATTGTTCATAGTAAAATATAATGTTATATAATGCATAAAAATAAATATCCAATTTTAATAATACTTTTATTTAATCCTACTTGGAAAAAATCATAATTACAATAAATATTTTGGCTATTATCTATATACACGCTGTTATTATACAGCTTAAAAAAAAAAATTACAAATTTAAATAATTTAACATTTAAAAAAAAAGTGATTTCTGTTTACGTATACAATTAATAAAAAAGTAATATCATAATTATTATCATACCAATTTTTTTTTTTATATATTTAAAGATTATCATCCATTACATCACTACTAGAATCCATGCAACTACTACATACTTTTGAGTAATGTTTTCCACATACCCAATGATTGCACTTATCACAGAAATTTCTTGTTCTTTTATCTTCCGATCTAGGACATAAAGCACATCTTCCATTTGAGCCCGTTTTCTTTGGGAGATTCTGTTCGGTTTCTACGAATGGTATACCAGATATACGTGCAGCTTTGTGCCGAATTGTTTTTGGAAGATTTTGCATAGCAGCCCTTTTAAGTACCTAAGGTTTAATCAACGACATAGCCAAGTTTCTCAAATATACACGACGTTTTAGAGCATTTGAAGTCAATTGATCGCAATGGTACAAAATTTCTGAATTGATTCCTAAAAAAAAAAAAATAATAATAGATATATCAAAAAAATGTTAGACAATAAATATGAATGCAGTATTATAAACATATAATGCATACCTGCAGTATTTATAAGATGAAAAAAAATTGTCAATGGCCATCTACGATTATTTCTTCCTGCATCATATGAACCACACATTTCATCTACCGTATCAACAGCGCCTTTGGTGCTGTTGTAAAAAGTAATAATTTCAGGTTTTCTAGCATCAGTTGTTGATTCGTCAATAGCTGCGTCATGATGCATTGATGATAAAAGTATAACTATTTTATTCGACTTTGGTTTATAGGATATAAGAGTAAGGTCTTTTTGAAAACCAAATATAGTACTGTTTAGCTCACGATTTTTTGAAAATTTTTGTTGGAAAATAACTGGAATTTCTTTTTTATTTTTCCGCATCGTACCAACTAATGTAATTTTGTTTTTCAATAAATTTTCAGCCAATGGAATACTGGTATACCAATTATCTGTGGTTAAGTTTCGTCCAGATCCTAAAATTGGATTCATCAATCGTATAACTACGTCAGATGGAGAGTTTGAAATATTATAAGGGCCAACTGGTTGCTTTGCACAGTAAACTTCCATATTCCACGTATACATCATTTTAGCGTCAACTAGTGCAAATATTTTTACACCATATTTTGCTGGCTTATTAGGCAAATATACTCTGAATGGGCACCTACCTCGAAATTTGACCAGTTGCTCATCTATTGTTACATATTCTGATGGTGAAAAACATTTTTTACAATTTTCAATAAATAATTCAAAAAGTTCTCTAATTGGAGCTAATTTATCTATTTCACGTCGTTGAATACGATCACCCATATCATCAAACCTCAGGCATCGAAGTAGAAATCGGAAACGCTTAAGACTCATAGTTACATGAAAAATTTCAACGCCAAAACCAGACTGATCCCAAAGGTCTTCGAGATTTTGCCTTCCTGAACGGTTTACACCAGCTAATATCAATAATCCAATTAAACTTTCAATTTCACTTTCCGACGTTGGATTAGCATCTCTTTCTCTTTCGAAATTTCCCGCGATAGATATTATATATTTATTAGTACAACTAGTAATTATACGAATAATCACGTTATCAAATAATAAATGAAAATAATCTACAATGTTTGATTTATTTTTTGCAACTGGTTTACACCCGGGTAAATGAGTTATAATATTATGAGATCGGGTACGTACATTACTTGGCAAAACATCTTTCAACCATTTAGTTTGCTTATCTTTTCCAAAATAAAATTTAGACCTTGATAAATCACTGCCAACATCTAGGTCATCTTCGGTTTCTGAAATGTCGTGTTCACTGTCACTTGATTCTTTTTCAACATTTTCCTCAACATAATCATCCACTTCTTCGTCATTCATACCGCCCACCTGATCATTATCTGATAATGAATCATTTACATCATCTAATAAGCTCAAAATTCTGTTTTGTTCACGTTCATCCATAGTAAAGTTAAAAAAAAACAATATCGCAAAAGTAATAAAAATAATTACGGGAATAGTCGCGCGGGATACATATGTTACACGGACGAGTTCAACCGTAGACAACTGCGTCTAATCGATAACTAAATCGTTAACAGTGATAATAAATGTAAGTGGCAAGTATTATCGAAAGGTATCTAAAATTAGACTTCTTAAAAACCAATTGCAATAAAGATATGACATAATCAACAATAGTGGGATACAATAGTAACCCGCGCGCCTAACGAAGGGATAATGGCTGTTTTCATACCAGGTTGTGTTAATCGAGCAATAATTTTATTTTCTCCGTTTACTGTGATAGGTACACGATAAGCTTCTTCAATTGAGATGACTGTGTTTAGTACTTTCGCAATGTTCATGACAGTTTCTTTACATATTTCATTTGGTATAGTGGGGATGCCAATTATTTCGATAGTAGATTTAAGGCTAGATTGCTCTATGCCATCTAGCCGATATTTAAGATCAAATATATCTTGAGTGAGTTTTATATTGTCGTTTGTAATTCTAACATTTTCTTTACGAATTTCTTTCATCTCTTCTAAGATTTTAGTGACTGTTGTACTAAAGTCATCAAATTTTTGACTCATGAAATTCATAGAGTTCGCAAGATCCTGCAGTGAAATTTCCGAATCCGTAGATTTATTTTTAGGTTTATCCCATTTAAATTTGCATTTATTGCATATCCATCTGCTACGTGTATTTTTGGATTGTTTATTGAAGGTTGCTTCAGTAATGCCTTCACATAAGTAGTGGTAATAGTTATTGCATTGCGAACAGACAATTTCATCGCTCGTTATTATAGTTTCGTTGCACTTTGAGCAGTTCGACATTATCTTAACGATTAGAGAGCAAGGTCCGTGAAACGCACTATGAGTAAACGACTTACGCACAACCGCACGCTATGGACAACGATTGAAGACTAATGAAGAATTATGTATAGTTTTTTGATTTTCAACTCGCTAACGTTTGACATGCGTTTTCCATAATACGTTTAACATCTCTCCTTTACGCCCACATCGTCCGCGATCCGACGTAGTCGGATTGCCTACCTGGGAGGTTTAAACGCGTTTAACTGGATTTTCAATGGTAATCGCTTGAAAAATCGAGCGCTCGATTCCGCTTAAACTTTTTTGTATACTGAACAGCACAACGCCTTCGACGTCAGGAGGTATGACAATCCGCCACAGGCGGATTGCCCTGTCAGGAATCGATATTCACTGGACGATGACTGATAACTAGACAATTAATTTTTCGGAATGTATTTATTTATTTTCCATGCACAAAAGCACAGGGTAAGCTACGCGGATTGCCCAGTCGAGTAACGACAAGCATCGGGTAATGACTGATAGCTAGCCATTTAATTACCATTTCGGAATGTATTTATTTATTTTCCATGCACAAAAGCACAGGGCAAGCTACGGGACAAGGTGTATTACACCTGTGAATTTAATGAAATGACCGACCACTAGACGCTCGAATTAGACTTTTATTATTTACGCGTTTAAAACGACACCGCCAAAGTGTAGAGCCACCAAATCAGAGTTACCAACATGTCAAACGTCGTTATCACTGGTTTTGCCTACTTGACTTTTCTAACTGCTGTATTCTTAAGTCCTGTCACCAACCTAGGAAATTCACTTCAAACGATATTCAGCTACCTAGGGTACTCACATACAGCGAGTTTTACTGACCTAGGGTATTCACATACAGCGAGTTTCACCGACCTAGGGTATTCACTTACACCGAGTTTCATCGGTGCTAGTAATATCATAATATTGATTCATGATTGTGCTTTGCTATAAGTCGGTAATTCGGTACTAATCACTAAACAGTAATCAGTCGTATAGTCTATACGCTTTGTTATTGTCACTTTCTGGTTGTGTGTATACAATATTACGAAATCTATTCCATATTGCTACTTATTTTCATTTGTGATATCCGTTGATATTTTAGTCATTAAATTAAATTATAAAAATGAAACGGTTCGTGATTAAATCAGTGGATTTATGTACGGATACCTCGGTGAAAAAAGTGCGTAATACTCTGTCATTGAAATATGAAAACGTGGATGATCCTACTACAGTACAGCATGCAAATGAAAATACTAATACTGAATCCGCTGATGAACAATTATTGTGCAAAATGTCATACTTGTTTGACGGTGAATTATATAAAATTGTTACACTCGATGGCATTAAAGTTTCAGCTAAATGTACTACATGCTCAAAAGTAATTAATGGCCATACAACATCTACTGGAAATTTCCTCAGTCACATAAAGGTATTTATTTTTTTATTGTTAGGTATTTATTTATATATTTATTGCTATAATATTTATAATTAATATTATCTATTTAATTTTACAGCTTAAACATAGTTTTATGATGTCTAAAGTACAAGCCAAAAAAGATGCTAAAAAGAAAAGAGCGAATGATGAACTCAGTACAAACAATCTAAAACAATCAAAGTTATCGTTTAATCAATCTGAAATTACAAAAAAAAAAACGTAAGATATAGTAGTTCGGTAAATATATTATTTCAAATAAGAATGGTAGTCATAGATTTTGTAAATATTGATCAATAAACCATTTTATGAGATGAAGTAGGTTTAAATGTTGACATCTTTTTATTGGTGCCTAAGTAATTAATAATATTTATTGGTAGAAGCAGTTCCGTGTACCCAGACATTTTTTTGGGGGGGGGGGAGAGAATCTTTAATAGTTAAAATAAAAAATAAAAACAAACCATTAAGTCATTAAGATAAAAAAAAATAATATGTGAAGCAATTAAATCATACTTCATAATATATTATAAAGGTTAAATTTAATAACACACTTTTAAATTTTGTACTACTCACTTCGCTTTTCGTACTACACACAATGTTAAGGGCTGTTATATTTAAAAAGTTAAAAATATATATTTTACATTTTTGTTACAGGTTAAGGATTTGATATTCAATTATATTGTTGAAGAAATGAAGTCGCTTGTAACTTGTGAGAAACCATCTTTTAAACGTTTGATTCAAGGCTTAACTTCTCAACATATTGTACTTCCACATAGGAGAGTTATCGCTAATGAATTAAAAGTTAAATATGAGTATTATGTAAAGATGTTGACCGAATTAATTGAAAATCAACATTTTATTTGTTTAACTGCTGATATCTGGAGCTCAAATAACAAAAGTTATTTAAGAATGACGTGTCATTATATAAATGAAACCAATTACAACCGACATTCGTATGTATTAGCTTGTAAAAGGATAAAAGGCTCCCATACACACTTAAATATTTCAAAAGTAATAACTAAAATACTGCAAGACTATAAATAATCTAATAATCTAATCATCAGCAACCGATTTAATAGTTACAACTCCTCCACTTTGTCTGATTGTAATCGAATTCATAACATCTTTTGCAATTTTTTCATTTTGTATTAATTGGGTAACTTTTTCTTGATAAGAAATATTCTATAAAATCAAATTATAAATTTATTCTTTGAATATCTTATAAAATGTTATACTACTCACTTTTTTTGGTTTTTTTTTTTAACGTTTTTCTATTTTTCACATCTTTCCTTTTTTGTCCGGTCAATTTCGTCATCGATTTAATTTCTGGTTCCATAATTTCAACCTATAAATATAGTAAGCGATTAGTTAATACCTAGTTTGTTAAAAAATGTTATGATATGTTATAAATTTTTATATTTAAAAAATTATTTATTAGTATTAAATATTTAAATTTAAATCAAACTAAGTCTTAAATATAGTATTTATATATATATATTTTTTACATACATCACTTGTAGAAAAGCATTCTTCTTCATCATCACTTTTAACTGAATAACACGACATATTTTTAGTTTTAAAATAAATTTAATAAAAAATAGAAAAAATTTTGAGTACAAAAATAAGAGACGTGAGGACGGTGTAGACTCAATGAGGTATACTGTGTACACTGTGTTAGCTAGTCTCCTTATATGCTATGTTTCCTCTTACACTCCTCACCCTCCATAAGCATGATTTGTTATAACTACTTTTTTGGCTAAGTTGTTATTCTCACGGATATAATTTAAGAAAGCACTCATGTACGTGTACGAGGTCTTCTACGAATTTTAGAATGTAATACACTATAAGTTGAAAGACCTCGGATAGGTCTCAAACCATTAAAATCAAAATATATGATTTCTATGATTTCTCATACTCATTCCACATACATGCGAATATTAGTTGTTATTGCCAATTATTTTTTTTTTTAAACATGTACCTGATTAATATAGTTCCTAGAACCGATTAAAATTCGTTTTATAATGTAATAAACTATAAGTTGAAAGACAACGGATAGCTTAAACCATTAAAATCAAAATATATGATTTCTATGATTTCACATACTCATTCCACATACTTGCGAAATATTAGATAGTTGTTATTGCTGATTATTTTTTTAAAAAATGTCCCCCAAAATATATAATAAAGGTTATCTTAAAACGAATGACGTTGATGATCATAGAGATGGAAATTTGGGGCTATATAATAACTAGAAAATATTTTTTGAAAAAATCACCAGTTTTTATTGTGAACTCAAGTGAACACAAGTTAATGCAGCGGACCGCAATAGCAGACATCAGATTTATTTGATACCTTTTTCGCAAACAAATATGTAAGTACGTATTGTTTCTATTTTTTTTATTAATATATATATTTAAAAATATAATATCTCATACGGTTAAATATATTTTTTTTATTTTTTTTTTTAAACATTATGGCTTTTAAGTTTTTAATGTTTAATTGAATAGTACCATAAGTGGTATATATGTAATATAAAGTATGATTAGTGTCTCATGTTTTTTAAAAATTGAAGTATTACTTTTAATTTTTTTAATAGTTACAGTCGATTATTTTATAAATAATAGTAAACCGAGTTTTTTTAAAATATAAAAAATATATTTAAACGGACTAGAGGAGGTTTTTTAATATATATATATATATTTATCAAAATTATATTTTTTTTTGAATATATATTTATATATAATGCTAGTATTCACACATACTTACAATTTATTTAATGTTTGATTCGTTCTCGATTTTTTTATTCTCGTTTTTAAATAACAAAAAAAAAATCTCTAATTTCAGAATAAAATGACACAAGAATATATCTACAAAGGCAAATTAAAAAAACTTTATTTTCAATTAGAAAAAAACAAGGTGTCAGAAGACGCAGCTGAAAGAATTAAAAAAGAAAAAATTAAATTAATTAATCATAATATTAGAAAAATATTTAGAAAAAATTATTCTAGTTTAATAGCAATAGAAAAATTTAAAGTTGAGAAAAAAAAATTTTAGATGATTACATTTACTCTAATTATATTTTGAGTAAATGTAATCAACTGATATACCTAAATATATTCTTTTTTAAAAATATAATTTAACATAAATCATAATATTCATAATTATTATAGTAAATATATCTTATTACATTATCTGATTTTTCTAAATATTACAAAGTTTTTTTATTATTATTATATTAAAAATAATATATATTATATTTGATAAGACTTAGTAAATATTTTAATCGTATTATGTTTTTGAACACAACAAAAAAAATTTAATTTTATACCTTTTTAAAAACTTATCAAAATACATAATGATACAAACAAAGTTTTTGAAATAAACCTAAGACAAATAAAAATACTGATTTAAGTTAAAGATGAATACATATATTACGATTTAAAAAAATTAACTAAAAACTAAATGATATTATACCTATGTAAAATGTTTAACAAAAAATGAAATAAATCTGCAAATACAAAAAATGAAAAAAATTATTAACGAAAACTAAATGGTATTATACCTATATAAAATTTTTATCAAAAAATGAAATAAATCTGCAAAAAACAAAAAAATGAAAAAAAAACTTATTAAAGTTAATGAATAATACATAAAATTCAACAATGAATACATATAATACAATATTTCAAATTTAACGAAAACTGTATGTTTTTTTTTTAAAAATATCATTTTAAATTAATGTTGAATATATATAACATAACATTTTTTTAGAACTGGAAAAAAAAATGATATTAAATAATAATATATTATATTATATCTTTTTTTAGTATTGATGTAAATAAGTATTGTTTCTATAAATAGTTCATATATTCGTAAAATTCTCGTAGAGAATCACCTTCTGTTGATGTGAACGGTTGTATAATACAATGAATCTAGCGTACGGATGGCAAAGTTCCAGTAACTATCTTAGTTCCACATTACGGTTATTTAATAATCGTTTTGTGCGTCGCTTAGACGATTCGTTAACATTTTCAACCGTTCCGTATCCGATTATTCGGTGGCTATAATGGTGTGGAATAACATATGAATCTATTGACTACTTAATTCAGAAACATTAATATATAGTTTAAAGGATTTAAAAAAAAAAAAAATATATATATATCAATAAATTGATTTTTTAGCAATGGATTTAATCAATTTCCTCAAAAACGAGTTGCAAAAAACTAGGAAAGAAATAGCTGATGGAGAAGAAAGATCGATTCAAACGGAGATAGAGAAAAATAATGAAATAGTTTTAATAAAAATAAAAATAAAAAATATACGATACCAAAAATACTTAGCTAAAAAGTTATTAGATATAGAAAAAATTAAAATTTTAATGAATGAATAATCAAATTACAAATGAAATAAAAGTTATTATTCAATTTTATAAGTTGTATGATGAATACAGTTTTCATAGTTCGAGGGAACAGCAATACGTAATTGAACGAAGGGCACGA